ATGGTATGAGCAATGAATAAGCTTTGGGACAGTAGGATAAAAACATGAATATACATGCATAATGAATTAATATACATTATATACTTGTAGAAATATAAACACTTTGTTTTAAATATACTCTTTAAATAATATATTTAAATACAGTATCTCAATGCCCAACTTTAATATCAATTATTTGCAAATGGAAACCAAATCCCTATATAGGACTTAAATTACACAATCCTGCTGTAACAGGCACTACTACAATGGTATTTTTTATAAATAAATACAGAAAAAGTATAAATCACAATAATGTAAATATGTCTGCTGTTATAATTCTATGCCCTAAAATATGTCAATGGCACATTCTTCAAAGAGGATGCATACTGAGTCATTCTCATCATTAATGATTATACAATACTACTTCAACCTCAGAAAATCATTAATCTTCAGAATAAAGATACAATGTGTACCTAATTCTGATTTCACTCCCTGCCAGCTTTCACATGATTCCTTGGCTGGGTTTGGCTTGGAAGAAGAAACCGAGTTATTTTTTTCTTTCTTTTGATATGAGTTTCGGGGCCAGACTAGAAATGGGTGCAGTTTATAAAGCTGCTCTGAGCTTTCCAGGTATCATTGCAGCAAAAAAAATTAATTGGAACTTAATTTTATAATCACAGATATGGAAAATCAGAAATTAACATCTTTATTTCAGATTAGCAATAATAAAGTGACAAAAGATAATTTTGTCAAGACAAGAACATCTTTATTCTGAAAATCATGAATTGGTGAATCAAACTGGTCCATTCCTAGCCTAATGGACCTCTTTAACTCAGTTCTGATTATCAGTGTAAGATAAATAAATATAGAAAATTATTATACTGAACAAATGCTGCTTTTCAAAAGGCATCTGGACTTTGTTTTTTCCTTGAAAACATTTTGCTTCTCATCAAAAAAGCTTCTTCAATTCTGACTTCAAAGATGCTTTTGAAAAGCAACTTTGGGATAAACATGGCCTGGATGACTGAGAATTTCCATAGACGTACTGACCAAAAGTTTTTCTACCTGCTATATGTATTTTCACACTAATTTGAATATTTTGAACATAATTCTCCAACTTGAAAAACTATTTCAACTATGAGGGTCCTGAGCTACAAATATTCTCCTTTATATTTCAACTATGTCTCTTTAGTTTAAATATCTATAAATCGTTCTATTTGGTAAACTCTATCTGAAAGATGTGTTAAAGGCATATCAATTTAATCCAATTTTTAATGTATCTATGATTATGAGGATAAATAATTTGAATTCTTATCCCTATACAGGAGTAAAACCAGGCCATCCTATAATATCCTTTATCCTTTATCATTTATTCTGACTATGGAATTTTGTAGTGGTGAAATGTAAAATTTGTTACTACCGGTTCTGTGGGCATAGCTTGGTGGGGTGATGGTGGTAATGTGACTGGGTGGGCGTGGCCAACTTTTTTTTAAAAAAAGTTTTAAAACCATTTTTTCTACAACCTCTTCAGTGGAAGAGGTTATAAAAAATGCTTTTAAAAGCCTCTGACGATCAGGCAACTCAGTTGGGATCGTCAGAGCCTTTTAAAAGCATTTTTTCTACAACCTCTTTGGCTGAAGAGGTTGTAAAAAAAATGCCTTTAAAAGCCTCTGACGATCAGGCAATTCAGCTAGGATCGTCGGAGCCTTTTAAAAGCATTTTTTTCTACAACCTCTTCAGCTGAAGAGGTTGTAGAAACAATGTTTTTAAAAGCCTCTGATGACCTCAGCTGAGCCGCGGGATCATCAGAGGCTTTTTTTTTTTACTTTTAAAAGCATTTTTTCGGCCGAAGAGGTTATAGAAAAATGCTTTTTTTAAAAAAAAAAGCGTCTGATGATTGTGCGGCTCAGCTGGGCATGGGGGGGGGCAGGGATGTTTGCTACCGATTCTCCAAACCACCCACTGCCATCGCTACCAAATCAGGCTATCCGATTCGAACCGGGAGCATTTCACCCCTGGAACTTTGGGTGCAGATCATGGATTAAATAAAAGAATAAGGAGGAGAAGGCTGTTGTTTCAAGCTAAAGAAACTTGGTTGAATTTATATTGTGAATAATATGATGTTTATTTACTATCAAATCCATTGAAAACAGAATCCTGAAAATATATATTATGTTTACTGAGAATGGAATATATAGTATTACAGAAGTTATAAAAAATAGAAGTAATAAATAATGTTTCTCGCCCTTTGTTTCTTTGCTTTGCTTGTTATTTACTATTGTGAGTTTTTATTTTGGATCAAATTCATAAATTAAATAATTTCTTTAAATAAAGTTTGCAGTTATTATCAAGTACTTTTTAAGCATTCTCATGAAGTAGTTCTGCTGAAAGCCCACTGAGACAAGAACCACCTGAACTAGGCAAAATGCTACCTAGCACTGAATAGAAATCTGTATTTTATCTGACTTTCCAATTAAAACAAAAATTCTATATTGTATATTGTGAGCAGATCCCCTTTGTTACCAATCCTATAGGAGCTTATCTTAATCTGTTAAATATATCATATTAAGTAATAAAGAGGAAGGTTTCTGGGGATATTGAAGAGCACTTTCTTTTTTTATCATTATTTGAAGCAGTCCATAATTAAGCTCTGATATTGACAATATGGCTCAAAAATTCCAAAGTGGAGCCTTACTTTAAATTAAGTTCTTAATGAGACTGTACATTTGAAACGAGACAGTTGAAATTGTTAAAGTCATGTATTTATAAAACCATATTCAATTAAGCTGGAAAAGTACAATGTCTGTCATCATGTCATAAAAAGATGTGTTTTTTTCTCAGATTTGTTGTAAGGAAGTCCAGCCTATATTGCTGCAGATGGAAGCTGTTTTCAATCAGTTACAAGGAGCAATCCAATTACTAGATGGTTTAGTGCAGTAACCGACTCCAGCCTAATTTAATTTCTTTGGGTCTCTAAAGATCAATTGATCTGATTTGCTTCCCTCCCTAAAGGCTAGTTAGGGGGGGAAAAGCAGACTTAAATATCTGGAAATGAAATACGAAGCTTTGTCCCACGTTCACACAATTTATGTCAACCCAAAGTCTTAGTACACATGATGAATGAGAGTTCTGCAGAATGTTTTGCATAGCAAAGAAAACAAGCTAATGTCGCCCCAAAATGATAATATAAAAAGGTGTTTGCCTTAGGAAACCTATTCATGAGTTTTTTTAAAAATTACAAAGGTAACATAAACATCTACTTTTCAAGGTGAAAAGTGAAAAATCAATCTACTAACAATCCTTGCCAAATCATATAAATGAAATTGATAATATTGCTTGTTTCCAAAAATAGCATTTGAGACCATATTAACTCTGCAAGTTGTCCTCAAGGTCCATCATTCAAAGAATGTATTGAAGTTGTAATCCATTGCTTTTACTGCATATAATATATGCATAGAAAAGACCTTTCCTACTGTGCCCTAATAGTTAATTTTATGGATCATTTTTCAGTAAAATCTACTTTAGCTGAATTTTAAAATTAAGTATGATGAACTCCACTCATAACAGGGAGATTGAAGTATTAAATAATCAATACCTAGGTATTTTGAAGCCAATAGCATTTTTTATTTATAGCTTTAGCTTATAGAATTTGATACTTTCAGTGAAAATTTAACTTTATAAGGTTTCTTCCTTTTACTTATCTACTGTACGGGTATTAATGGCAAGCAGTATTTTTAATTCTGTGACTTGGACTGCAAATAAATTAAATAAACTATGTTAGATTTATTTCAAAGTAGTTACTGGGAATTTATTTATTTGTGGTCTGCATTTAAAAAAATTCTTATGCTACTGCTGCCTCTAAAATTATATACTCATTGAAGATTTTGGAAAAGTTTGCAAAGGCTTCTAAGTTAGTAGTTTATCATTAGAAGGTAAAGGAGGTAGGTGAAATCAGTTCTATTTGTGTAGTTACTGAAATAAGGATCTTGGCTGTTCTATTTCTGTAAAGCAGTAACAAGTGTTTGAAACAATCTGAAACTACTATCTGATGATCCAAAAATGTGGTTAATAAAAAGATTATATTTTAAATATAGATTTTATAGAATGTTCCTATACGATTCTCTAATACCTTTGGATGCAACTGAGAATATTACCTTATAAGATTTGGATTTGTCATGTTTTAGTCTAAAATCTATACAATAAAAAGGACAACCACTGCTTTTTAGCTAATTCTGGAATCAATTAAGACATCAAGAATTATGAACTTTTTATGAATGTGCATGCTGCAGAAAGATTCAACAATATTTTTAAAGTTTATCTAAACACATATTCAAAGCTGCTGCATGAATTCACCCCTTTTATTCTTAAAGAAAACTACTATATTTTCTTCAAGACAACTTCTGGAAGTTCAGTAGCTTAATATTTTGGGGTAAGTGCTATGCATATAAAGCATCTTCTTCCAATGCTTCTAGTTTGTTACCCAAAAAAGTTTTTACATGAGTACAATACATGAGTGGAAGATAGGAACCTCTTCCAGCTCTTGAAGTGGCTAGAAGACATAAAATAGCAAACTGACTTGTTGACTTCCTACCTCAGTCAGGAAAACTGTTTTCTCAATGACATCAAACATTTGAATCAAAGCCAAGCAATCTTACATAGTACCACAAATTGGCAGTCATGTCACCTAAAATATGTTGATTAGCTTGCCCTCACTTGTCCTTTATTCACACATACAGATAAACAAATTACATAAAAATAAGTAAGATGCATCAGTGAACACATTCTTATTGCTTTGATATAACCATGGAGAATCCCTTTACAGAGAACACATACTGTCTATGCTGCTTAGAAGCAATTTTCTATCACAACTTATTGAGCACATTCATTATGTCATTTCTTTGAAAATGTTTCCTGAGAAAACTTGGAAGATTTATATTTATAGCCAAGGCCAGAAATGATACATGGGGACAATTTAGAATTCTCTTTAGAATCTATCCATATATACAACAGATCCTCATTACCTCTCAATATCTGTGAGTCTGGAAGAATCCCTGAATCCTTTAGCAAAAGGGTTGCTGTCAATTTTCAGCTTGGTTATCTAAAAACAGAAAGAGATGACAAAATCTTACAGCATATAGCAATGTTACTTAAAGAAACCCATCTCTGATTGAATTGTGGCATGTTTCATCACAGAAATTGATTAACAAATTATGTCTTCATGCTGGAATTATAAGGAAACTTGCTCATTTCATTCACCATCTTGTAGCTAGAATAGTTGCTAGAGAAACAGTTTATTCTTATTTAATCTTGCATAGAGTTAATCCCTTGAAACAATTAAGATTATTCATCCTGATTAAAGCAATCTATATTTCAGTGAGTCTATTTCTAAACTATTCAGGAAGACACTACAAACTTCTTTGTTCTTTAAGTCTTTGGAAAATAGCAGGTTGTTGCCAAGGATGTTGATTAGAAGTTGATTATTTCTGCTGAAGTTCTTTTGATTTTAGTTGTTTTTCCAGGAATCGGGATTGAATTGTTTTGTAGTTTTGTTCTGTTTTACTTGTTTTTATCAGTTTTTATGATTGTGAATCTCTTGGAATCTTATGGAATAGGGTAATATATAGTAGCATATACAATAAATGCAGTTTTTAAAGCACATTTTGAAACAAATATTATAGATATTGCCTGGAATGCACTACCTGACTCTGTGGTTTCATCCCCAAACCCCCAAAAATTTAACTTAAGACTGTTTACGGTTGACCTCACCCCATTCCTAAGAGGTCTGTAAGGGGCGTGCATAAGAGCACCAGCGTGCCTACCATCCCTGTCCTGATGTTTCCTCTATTTGAATTTATTTTATGTATCCAATCTATGTTTATAACTATTACCTAATACATTCTTGACAAATGAAAAAAAAGATGCATTCCAAATATAAGGGGCTGTGCATAGTTGACAATTAACTGAAATATATGCTCTGGTTCTTCCATGAATGCAACTCCTCTCTGTTATTATTAAAACTAAATACAATTCCTAAAACACTGTGCTATCTTTGCATATGTTTGAAAGATTTTCCTTTAAATTATTTTAAAGAATGTACTAGCATTATGAAAAGTATTTTAGTGAAATGTTACATGTGCTTAAACTATCCAAATTACTTTTACTGAAAGTAAACATAAAAAGCAGCCTTTGTTTAGGAAAAACATTCAAGCTATTTTACAGAAACCTAAAAGTTTCATAAATTTAGCCCTCCCCAAATTTCAGTAAGGAATTGTGAAAAAGCTTAGAATATTTTTGGACCACTATAAATCAGTGTAATATAACTGAAATTCAGAACAGTTATTCAATGCCAAAATGTGCTAAAAAACAGATCAGGTTAATTGATCTGACCAACTGTACTCTTTCATGTAGAGAATGTCAACAAAATGGTGAATTGAAAAAATTATTAAATGAAAACAGAATGGAATTACCTGGAATATAATGTACTTTAAGGCCACTATACCAAGAAATAATTTCTCAGCTCCTTGGGGATAAAGAGGTAATTTTCCATAGTATCTGGTCATATAAATGCAAATAATTGGCCATGCTGTATGTTCAAAAAACCACACAGAGGTGGGGATAATATAAAAAATGGTATTGCATGATCAGTATTTATTTATTTATTTATTTATTTATTGAATTTCTATACCGCCCTTGTCAACTTGGTGTATCTGCTAAGACCTTGGCATAGAATTTAGATGTTTATGCTAGCCCTGCTTGTTGAAACAGAAAGGTCTTCAGGGCATGTCAGAAAGTGCGAAGATCTGGGATTATTCGTATTCCAGGAGGTATTTTGTTCCAAAGAGTAGGGGGCACCTACTCTGCCCCCACAGAGAAGGCTCTCTCCCTTGGAACTACTAGACGACATTGTTTTAATAATGGTACTATGAGTAGGCCTACTCTGTGAGAGCGTATTGGTTGGTGGGAGGTTATCGGTTGCAGCAGGTGGTCTCGTAAGTACTCAGGTCCTAAGCCATGGAGCACTTTAAAGGTAAGAACCAACACCTTGAAGTGCACTCAGAAGGCCACCGGAAGCCAGTGCACCTCACGTAGAAGAGGTGTTACATGTGAGCGCCATGTTGCTCCTATAATTACTCGCGCGGCCGCATTCTGGACCAGTTGGAGCTTCTGGGTGCACTTCAAGGGGAGCCCCATGTAGAGAGCATTGCAGTAGTCAAGTCAGGAAATGACGAGGGCTTGAGTGACTGTGCGTAATGAGTCCCGGTCTAGAAAGGGACGCAATTGGCGAATCAGGCGAACCTGATAGAAAGCTCCTCTGGCCACGGCTGTTATATGATCTTCTAAAGACAGTTGTGCATCCAGGAGGATGCCTAAATTGCGAGCTTTCTCTGTGGGGGTCAATGACTCGTCCCCAATAGTTAGTGATGGGACTAACTGGCTGTACCGGGACGCCGGCAGCCACAGCCACTCAGTCTTGGAAGGGTTGAGTTGAAGCCTGTTTCTCCCCATCCAGACCCATACGGCCTCAAGGCACTGGGACATCACTTCAAGGGCATCATTGGGGTGGTTTGTGATGGAGATGTACAGCTGAGTGTCATCAGCATACAGATGACATTGCACCCCAAAACCACGGATGATCTACCCCAACGGCTTCACATAAATGTTGAACAGGAGAGGCTAGTTTGTTATTTATTATTTGACAACTGCTATATAAATTAAGACTTTTCTATAAAAGAGATGATAAATAAGCTATTGCTGAATATAGATTCCTATTCACTTACTGGGGAAAATTAACAGTTTTATCTTATAGTAAAATTCAATTTGTCTTTAGAAAAGGAAGCAGTTTGGTTAATGCTGTTAGATAAAAGATTACTGGCAGGAATTGTCACCACCCCAGAAGACAAGCTTAGAATCAAAAAAGATCTTGACAAATTTGAACAATGGGCCCTATCCAACAAAATGAATTTTAATGTGGAGAAAAGCAAAGTTTTACATTTAGGCAGAAAAAAATCAAAGGTATAAGTACAGATTAGGCGAGACCTGGCTCAAAAACAATAAGAGGGACCTTGGAGTCCTAGTGGGTGATCACTTGAATATGAGCCAGTAGTGTGCAGCAGCAGCCAAAAAAGCTAATACAATGCTGGATTGTATAAACAGAGACATAGAATCAAGATCACATGAAATATTAGTACCACTTTATAAAACTCTGGTAAGACCACACCTGAAATACTGCAACCAATTTTGGTCACCATACTACAAAAAAGATGTTGAGACTTTGGAAAAAGTTCAGAGAAGAGCAACTAAGATGATCAAAGGCCTGGAGACTAAAATGTACTAAGAATGTTTGCAGGATTTGGGTTTGGCTAGTCTAAAGCAAAGAAGAATTAGGGGTGACATGATAGCAGTATTCCAGTATTTAACAGGCTGCCACAAAGAAGAGGTTTTGGTTTTGGACAAGTTATTGTCCAAAGCACCAGAGGGCAGGACCAGAAGCAATGGTTGGAAACTAATCAAAGAGAGAAACAACCTGGAATTAAGGAGAAACTTCCTAATAGTGAGGACAATTAACCAGTGGAACAGCTTGCCTGTAGAAATCATGGGTATTCTATCACTGGATGTTTTTAAGAAGAGTCAGTTATCTAAAATAGTATAGGTTCTGCTTGAGCAGGGGATTGACTAGAAGACCTCCAAGGTCTCTTCCAGCTCATACTATTCTATAATACACATACATTTTTATGAAGCCACACTTAAAAGAAAAAGAGAAAAAATCAGTTCTTATATGAATGAAGAATGCATTTCCAAGAGAGCTTGTCAAAATGAAATTTGACCTACAATTCAACTCTTACTGTAGAGTGGCTTGACTGTTTAAACAAATGTCTGGCCTTTAAATCTTAAATGTGAGATAGTTTGTTGAAAGTGTAATGTATTTAGCTCTTATCTAATAACCTGAAGAAATGTAATCATCCCTTTAAAATCAGCACTGAAAGAAATGGTAAAAAATAAGAGAGGTTCCATCTTCATTAGTCATAGATACTATAACAGAATCAATCTCCAGTATTTTCCCAATTTCCATTGAGAAATTCAACAGTATTTATGTTATGTGCTTCAGAATCAAAATAACACTTCTAAAAACTGCTATATTAATATACATGCCTAGTGTTCTACAGAACCTGTACATGCACCAGCAGTGGCTGACTAGATTGTTTTTAACTGAAGTGTGTGTATGTGTGTGTGTGCATAACATAATATTCATTAAAATATATATTTAACCTAGTCCATCCAGATAATCCAGATGTGAAAACTGGATTAATTTACGCTGCCCAGAGTCATCTTCAGTGAGGTGAAAGACCATATAAATTTGAGTAAATAAACAGACAGACAGACTTCAGGACTGAATTAGACTCCAAAATGCTATCAATAGTGTGCAGATGTTCAGGACTACCTTTCTCATTCTCCCACTTTTCAGGCATATTAATATTATAATTCCCAGAATTTCAAGCCATAGCATGACTGGTAGACTTCTGGGACTTATACTCCCATCACATCTAAAGGACAGCAGTTTGTCAAAAAGTTCCATTGTAAACTTTTATTAGGAAAGGACAGTGTACATCAGGAAAGAACATTTTTTTTCAGTATTTAATGCATTATCATTGTGTGTTTCCTAGGAGGAAGAATAAATGGATGTTACTGTTTCTTTTTTCTGTGGTATTAAAAAGATATGACTGGCTTTGGATAGCTAAACTGGAGGCAAAAGATTTTGCTTGGCCTCAAATATGAAAACATCTTAATCTTAACCTAGCTAAATACCTGAGCTTAAACACTTGTATAATGGTGTAGCCTTGTGACATAAGACAGAGCATAAAGTGCATATTTACTCAAGAGTAACAACTATGGTATCAAGCAGAGCTTGCTCCAAGTTAAATATGGGGCAACTTACTCCTGAGTATATATGTGTAATGAAGCCGTATTTGTATATCGACCAGGAGGCAAGTCCAGACTTTGCTGAATTTCAGTGCCTCTCATCCTTGCATTTCCCAGGCTGCTGAGATTTTGAGTGCAGTGACAGTTGAAGAAACATGGATTTCCATCTGCCCTGAGTTAGACTAAAATGGAGCTTCCTATTATTTAGGCAATACCTTTATTTAAAATCTGTGAATTTTTTATAACACTTATGTTTTTTTTTAAAGAAACAATAACTCAAGCATCATCTTAGAAAATGCACCTTTAATCTCTAATCTTTATAATTAGGCTACAAATTACAAGTTGAAATAATAAAGCCTGATGGGAGCAACATCACCACCCAGGCTGCCCAGGATTACTCAGAGCTTGCCCAGGAATAATCAGGGCTCGATAGCCCAGGCAGTACAGGATTAATTAAGGTTTGCTAGCTCGGACGAGGTGCAGCTGGAGCTGTGCGCTGGTTGCATGGCTGGGGGGTGGAGTCAGGGGGGAGTAGTGAGGTGGGGTACACCGAGTGCGTCCCCCGTCATTGGCTGGATGCAGGCAGTGGGACCCGAGGCGGAGGGGAAGGCAAGCGGGTGGCAGTCGCCCAAAGGTCCCATGGAAGCCAAGTGCACCAGGTCCAAAAGGCAAGCAAGCCTCGCCATGTTCTCCCAGGGCAGCTCTTTGGCCAAGCACAACGGGTCTCCCTTCCTGGCCACCAGCATCGGCCTTACATCTGCTCGCCTTTCCGGGGCTGCCCATGCACATCCCAGCAGAGCAGCAGTCTCGGCTCCAGCGGCTGCTGCGGGAGAAGGAAGAAAGTGCTCTGGGAGGGCAGGCAGCCCGGTCCATCATGGGCTGGATGCAGGCAGTAGGGAAAGTAAGTGGGTGGCAGTCGCCCAAAGGGTGCGTGAAAGCCAAGCGCGCCAGACCCAAAAGGTGAATGAGCCTCACCATGTCCCTCCGAGGAGCCAAGCACAGTGGGTCTCCCTCTCCCCCCCCATCAGCATCGGCCTTACCGTCTAAATCCTTCACTGGCATATTCAGCATGCCCATCATTCCAACGGAGCCAGTGCTGAGAGGCGCTGAGAGGGGCAGCACTGCTGCAGTGGTGCTCCAGGAGGGAAGCTGATGTCCTGGATAGTGCTGCACATGCGGTGTCCTCCTAAAGTACCACCACCACCATTTGCTTTTGTTTCGTGGCAGGAGAAGGAAGAAAGCAAACAGCAAGGCTGCCCTGGCTGAGCAATCACTGTGCCTCCCCAGCCTTGCCTGCCACCTCCATGCACTGCGCTTAGAAGGGCCCTCCCTCCTTCCGCTGCTGTTCGCTTTCATTTCAGGGCAGGAGAAGCCAAGCTCCAAGTGCACGGAGGTGGCGGGCCCCGGTGCGCCTGTTGCTGGGGAGGTGCGGCAATTGGTCAGCCAGGGCAGCCTCAGCGGGGGGGCCTCTCCGCTGGCACCATGTCTCGTTCCGGCTGGCTGTGCGACTACAAGTGCAGCGACATAGTCTTCGCCAAAATGAAGGGCTACCCGTACTGTCCTGCCCGGGTAAGCGCTGCCACCCAGGCCGAAGGGAAAGCGCCACGGGCTTTGTGGTGGCGTGGCTGGGCCTGGTCCTCTCCCCTCACAGGGGGCCTGCCACCTGACCAGCCACTGGCGGCTTCTGTGTCTCTCGCTTCGCTTCTTCACCGTTGGCAAGCGCTGTCGCAGCCGAGTCTTCTTATATAGGGTGGGCCAGAAGCACCCAGAGCCAGCTGAAAGCACTCGAGCGATTCGGAAGCACCAAGAGTGAGCCAGAAGCGGTGAGCGGGCAACCGGGCAACCAGACAGGCGGGGGAGAGGCAACCAGGCATTATTGCTACTGGTTTGGTGAACTGATGGCAATCATTGCTACTGGTTCTCCCGAACTAGTCCAAACTGGTAGCATTTCACCCCTGTGTTACATGTATTTCAACATTGTGTTCTGTAGTATCCATCAACAACTGGGCAATGTCTAAATGTGTAAGGACTGTAACTTTTCAATTTCCCTACCAGCTACTTAAGAGTCCTGAGGATTGCAGACCCAAGATCCCATTGAGGAAATGTGCTTCTCTGAGGAACTGATATATTTAAAAAATGCAGATTTCAGATTGCAATTAGAGGCACATTCTTCAATCTAGTACCTTAAAAAAAATTAGTTCTAACTAATGTATAGCAACTTGTGAGCCAAGGTAAGTTTTGGTAAGAATTGCATTATAACAAAATTAAGAGCACTACAAATTTCCATCTCTCTGTTAATGCATGTTAAAACTTTCTTTAGAAGACTTTATTTACAGCAGTGTGTTCCTATAGGAGTTACTAATCTGATATGTCTCATTTATTTTATTTAACAAATGGCATCTGCAGAGGTCATACAATCACTGATATAATAATGTAGTTTAAATAAAGCATCAGCAAACATATTATGTTTGTTTGTGTGTATGTAATATGTGGACAATAAAGTATAGCAGATAATATATTAAATTAAGATAAATTCATTATAATATGGAACCATAGAATTGATATGGGATACATTTTATGATTCAATATCTAAGGAAGCTAACTATCTAACTTAACCGCTTCTGGTGTGGCTGCAGTGAGATCATCTCAGGTGCCTTGAAATTTCCTGAGGAGACATTCTTGAGCTATATATTTTATCATTTTTTCTGGTGCATCACAGTCACATTACGGGCTCTTGGCCATTCCTCATTTAAAGAGCTTTGCCCTAGTTCTGGCATGGCCTGTCTTGATTCTATTCAGGTAGCTCCACATTTTTCAGGACAACTGCATTCCTGGAAGTCATTTTTATTGGATATGTACTGTATGATCTGTTTGATTGTGGTTATTAAAAGTCACCCATCTTAACTGCTATTCATCATCTGGATTGTAAGACTGTGATATGTTATTCAAAATTGGTTTCCCAGATTTAAGCCTGGTGAGAGATGGTCTAATATTTTATATATTAGAAGATTTTTTTAGAGCTGATGTGATGTTTAACTTATTCCACTATCAAACTATCTATTGTTTGTCATCTGAAATCAGGAGGGGGCAATGTTAGAAAGACCATGCAGCCATGAGAGCAATGTGGATTTAAGGGTTCCAGATATTATTCTCATTGTGTCCTTAAAATGAACATACATCAAACTGTATGACAACTTCTTCCATACACAGTTGCACAGTATTCAGCAATAGAGCATACTAATGATTGTACCACTATACATAATGTTTTGGCTTGTGTTCCCTCAGCCTGTTCCTGCAATTTTCCTAATCAAGTTATTCCTAGTTATCAGTTTTTGTCCAATTAATTGAGCAATCAGATACATCTCCTGACTGGAAAAGAATAATTCAAAAGGAATCCAGGAATATTACAGCAGAAATCCTAGAATTGGCAGAAATATTGTAGTTAGCATGAGCTAACTACATGTGTGTGCATACATACTTCAGAACAAAATCGTTAGGAACTCTGAGGACTGAAACATATAACCTTCTGAGGATGAGCCTACGTTGTGTTTCTCCACTGGCTTTGTTATGATCAATGTTTTGTGTTGACATCCACAATCACCTTATGTTAGTTAACTGCAATAGCAGACTGAAAAAGGATCTCAATTTTAATTCTGAAGAAAAAAACACCTAAATACCCAAATCTGATACATGCCTCAAATTTGTATAAGAGATCTGTATCAGTTGTCTAGGCAAAGATCTGTGCCCAAATATTACTGAAAATATAGAGGAGAGGGGGAATATTTTTTTATATAAGAAATTGATATGTGTTCTGATTGAAAAGTAACATATTCTGAGGTAAGGCCTTGCCAATAATAATTTTTTGAAAAACATTAATACTGTCAGTTCTGATCCTCAGAACTGAAACTCTGCACTGGCCAAGTATTTTTATGTGTTCTTTTTGTCAAGTATAACATGTAGGACCAAGAAGAGAAGGAGCGAAGCTAGAAATACTCTTAAATTACGCTGCTTTTAAAAAATTAAATTAAATCCCCCTCAGATGTTCTGCTTATATGTAATTAAAGGAAAATAGATCATTTTGTCCTTTCTATCCCATTTTGAGAATGTTTGTATCATTCAACCCCTCTTTCGATAGAATTTACAAAAGAATAACATTGACAATAGTTAGTGAATTGGGTGAAAACACTCACCAGTTGGTTTTGGTAGGCAGTGACAGCTGTAAACACTGTCTCTGGAAATATAAATGTCCTGAATTCTTCAGATTTCAAGTTAAGCAAGGAGGCTGTGTGATCCTTCTTTTTGATGATATGCACTCTAGGTTGATATTTGTGCATTGAATTCAGTATTATCTAGTGAGGATAAAAGGAGGGAAAACACAATCAGAATCATTTTCAGTCAGCAAATTATATTGTCTTATCCATCAAAACTGCTATACCAGAAGAGGACAAAAAAGACATGCCAGATTATTGGCTAGTATCAGAAGAAACCATAGATCATTTGAGTCCTGGTCTTAGTCCTAGGCTCACTTCTACTATATACCAATTGCCACAAATTAATTCCATTCCATGCGGTTCAGTAAGAGGAAGGATGCTAAATGTTTTAAAATGGAGGCAGATAAAAGTCAACATGGTTTTCCTCCTTAGTTTTTGTCACTCAATCAGATTCCCAGGAGGGTTTTGGAAGTCTCAGAGGTACTGGTGCCAGATAGCTTCAAAACAAAGGGTAAGATTATTTATACTTAAATTCCCATTTAAATAAATAACAAGGCAATTTACATTTCTTCACATACAGTCTTGATATAGCCAGACATACAATATTTATCCTAAATTTAAATATGGAGATTGACATTTTACATCAGGGATGCAAAAGGCTTTTGGCTAAGAGTCACATAAATATAAACATAAATATGGTATGCTGAGGAACTTGCTTCAATATATGGCAGAATCAAGACAACTATGGTTTAGTTTCATTAAACTGATATTATATTATTATGTAATATTATTATGTAACAATATCTCTAGACATCTAATACTTTCCTGCTTCTGTCACCCAAGAGAGTGGACTAAATGAAGGTTGCATTCTCAAGTTTTGCATAATTGCAGATTCCAACATTTAGACTTGTTTTATTGCTCTTCAAAACATATCAAACAAAAAGAAGATAGGGGAAATTTTTCAGGACAGAAATTATTAGATAATTAACAGTTAGCTGTTACAGATGTCTAAAAATGGCCTTTCAGAGCAGAAGAATAAATGCAAAATATCTTCTGTGATATAAGATACTGTTACATGCCCCATCTCCTCCTCTCAGTCCATAAAACTTCACAGTTTTTAAAGTTTTCTTAATAATCATAGGAACAATTATTATTGGGTTTTTTGGCATTTCCAGCAGGTATGGCAGAAAGAACCTGAGGGTGGAGCATTGTTTTCCCTTCTCACTGTCAGGGTTCCAAGTAACACCCCCAATGAAAGAAGACTCTAAGGCCAGAAGTTTCTCAAAGTTCCACTTTATTACAGATGTCATATTGGCACATCTGGAAAAACCCAGAAGCTTTCAGATTCCACCCAAAAGAAAGTCCAAGTCCCTTCCCCTGCACCCACATGTCCATCACATGGTCCAATCAATCCACTGTCCCAACTGGAGATGCCTCCTAGTCACGCCACTCCAGGTGCAGGCGGAACGTCCTTGACTCCCAGAGAAAAGAATGTTGTTATGGCTAAATATCTCTACAATTCCATGCAATACCCCTCCCAGTTTCCCACAGCACTAAGTGTGACAGCCCTGAAGATCCAAAGAAAAAGATGGCCTCCAGGGCTAACACTCACAGAACCAGGTACTCACATGACCATGCTGATCCAGCTCATTGTTTGTGAGTTTCACTTTTTCAAAGGATACCATCTGCTTCAGCAATTGTTCCCCAGTAAATGGAGAATCTGGATGCACATATAGCCTGGAAAGCCAAACAACAAAGCTCATCAAGGCCCAGCAAGCAGATAGAGACACAGAAAGTTAGCTAGCTAGATAGATGCTTTCCATAAAACATGAGCATTTAAACTAGTAGGCATCATTTTCAAAACTTTAATTCAGTTTGGCTAACTATATTTAGGCTCTTCTCTTAAACCTACATAAAAGGGGGAAAAAGCACCAAAGAACAGATATAAATCTAAATGATACTTAGTTTTAGATGAAAAACATGTTAGAAGTAGAGGAAAAGATTCAGTCATAAGATTTTGCAAGATATTTGCATCAAACAAATGAACTAAAAAAAACCACCTTTTTTATTATTAGAAGCTCAGTTTTCTGAAAATTAATTATTTGGGTTTTTCCATTCTAAATATTATTTTTTCTTATTCTTTTCCATTGCGACTCATCTTTCCTAGTCCTTTAACTATTTCAAGTGATGATTTGTCTAAACTGGATAGGAAATACTAGTTTCATACTTGGAATTGCAGCAGGAGGGGGCTGGATGGAGACTTAAAAAGATAAATCTTAAATAACAGTATGCTGATATTATAGCTTAGAAAGGGGGGAAGTTACCTGTGTTTGATGAAATCAAAGATATTTTCCTCCAAGTTATTTTCAACCAGGACTACAGCCATCTCTCAGTGTTAAAGCACATTCAAAAATGACTTCAGGAAACTCAGAGTAAACTCCAAGAAAGATTCCCATTATAAATCTGGAAATCTAGCAATATACATAAATCTAGCACTAAACTATAGGAACCAGTTATCTGACTGTGTTATGATCCTACTGTGTTTTCCACATTAACTTGATTATTAAGACATAGATTTTCTAGCTTTTCATGCATCAATCTCAAAAAATGATAGTAGGATAATTTCATATTAGATGATCCAAAAAGACTTCTTTTACCAGCAATCTGAGCAGTGATTGATACACCAGATTCACAATGGACTTCTGGCACTTTGCATTTAAAAATATTGATTAAAAGCCTATATAAAGTAAAACATCTACAGTAAAACATCAATGCATTATTATTCATAAAAATATTATGAAGCTAAATACCACTGCTTATTATGATCCTGATTCAAAAATGGCTTTTCTGGCATAAAGCACTTTTTTTTCCCAGACAGAAGAAATAATATAAATTGCAACAGGGTTCATGAAGTAAAAGAATATAATATTTTCTGCTTGCATAGTTTTGATCCTCTCAGGGTATAGAAAATACTTCATTCCATATTTTTGCTCTGGAAAAATTCTAGATCCATATCCCTATATGAGTAAGGACACAGCATAGTTTACTTACAAGCACACTGTTAAGCTGCAGAGCAGCAACCTCCAGTGAATTCCACTGAAATCAACAGGAAATTCTAAATAAATATGACCAACATAAAACAGACCTACCAAGTACTTCATCTACTGGTCTCACCACAAATAAATGTTTCTATTTAAGGCTATTATACCCTGGGCCTTTAGAAAGGCTCAGACATATTTTTATCTCTTCATGAATGCTTAATGATTCCGTATATGAAGTGTGGTCTCCGCTATCTTTTTGTCCAAATAAACTACACTGTTTCTCAGTGAAGCTATTCTGACCAGAGCTTGAAATAACAACACATAGGCATTTTCCATTGAGATGCAATGGCCTTCTCCAGATGCCTTCCAATTATGAACTATAGTCACCCTTGGAAAAATAGGTTGAAGAAGCATGGGTGAAGTATTGAAAAAAGACAAAACTTAGCCTATAACATTTACTTTTGCTCCGATATAGATAGGTTTTTATGAAGATCAAATTGGGGATAACCATGTTTGTGGTCTTGCATTTATTGGAAGAAAAGCTGGATATAAATGGCAGGGTGGGTGTTGAGCTAGCAAGAACCATAGGCAATATAGATAGTTCTCTTACAGCCATTCATTTAGTGACCATTCAAAGTTATAACAGCACTGAAAAAAGGGACATGAACACTTTTCATATTTATGACTCTTGCAGCATTCCCATGGTCATGTTATCAAATTCTGGTTGCTTGGCAACCACCATGTATTTACAAAATTGCAGTATCTCAAGGTCCTGGGACTATCATTTGCAACATTCTTAGGGAGCTTCTAACAAGCATAGTCAATGGGGGAAGCTAGATTTGCTTAACGACCACATGATTCACTTAACTTCAATTAGTCATATAATAATCATGGCAAAAAAGTTGTAAAATGGAGCACAATTTACTTAAAAATTGTCTTGCTTAGCAATGGAAATTTTGGGCTCAATTGTTGTAAGTCAAGGGCTACCTGTATAACCAGTGCATAAACAAGAAGTTTATGCGGGGGATGATGTCCTGGCGATTAGGGGGTCCTTAGGGCCAATTTGTCCACCTATGGCCCATGACGTGGTGAGAGGGCTGATTCACCGATCCGTTGGAAGCATTTTCGGCTCCAGAAGACCTTTTGGGAGAGCAGTTTATGGCTGGCTCTTCGGAACAGCTTGAAGTGAGACGGGCGGTGCTGGCGGGGTGTAAGATGGCGAGATAGGCCTGGAGCTCCGTGACAGCCGACCTGCATCCGTCGGAGGCTGCCGGAGGGATGGCGGTGCGCGGCTGCGGTGACCATCTGGCACCCTAGGCGAGACTCCGTTGAACCCTGGCGATGGCAGGAGTTGCCTGCGGAGGCCAGCGGTGGGCGGAGTCGGCACGGAGGAGGCCGATGGTGATGGCAGCAGTGATGACGGCGCCCAAAATGGCGGTTACCGGCAGCGGTAGTGGGAGTGGTGGAGACCAAAGAGGCCACAAGCGGGAGAGCAGGGACCTGCCTGACTATTTTCAGCGGAAACTCCTGGGCGACGGAGGGATGCTGACCCATTCATTGTTGGGCCAGCCCTGGACCATCTCCCAGAGGCCTCCCCCCTCTTTTTTCTATGTGTGGGGGGGGGAGTTAAACCTTTATGCATGGAAGACCTGAAGGTGGCTAAGGAGATGGGAAGGGGATTGTAGTGTCTACCATGGGGGCTTTGCTTCTGCAAAATGACTGCCTTACTCCATCTCCCCCCCTTCCTGTATTCTCATCTCCCGTGCCCCTTTTGTGGCCGGATATTCGGCCTTTTGTTATCATTTGCTATCCAGGTTTGTCGTTTCCTGTATGTCAGGATGAGAGTTTCCCTACTTTTATGTTATCTGAGTCTCCCTGGATTCGCCTACTACATATTTCCCACAGACTATCCATGTCTCTGAACTCAAGGATTGGCTATTCCATCTGTGCCTAGGTACAACATTGAAAGAACCGGACTAAAGCAGCTGTTTTTCTCCCTTATATCTGGTTACCATGAGAGGGTGACCGATGTTTACATCCGAGTTCAAAATGGCTTAAGTTTTCTACCGCTGATGTGAGAGGTCAGTGGGACTAAAATGACTTGTACCTCTGATTGATACTCTCTCCACGGGACCCTGGATAGCTAGGACATGCCTACCAGCTATGGACTATCTATCTACAAAATGTACTCGTTGGGAGAACTCCTCAAACTGTGAGATTCCCCCCTCTCGCAGGTCTGGCCCTCTGCTTTATCGAGGGCCTATCTCGATGACGGACTTTGGAGTCCGGAGAGATGGCATACAGCAAAAAGAGGGTTATGGGTTTTTTTAGGGAAATTTTTTAATAGGATTTTAAGGGATTCTGGGAGGGGGGTAGGTTACGTGGGTTTGGGGGAACACCCACGGGGGAGGGTATCTGGGCCAGCCAAGGGGCGTGGCATGGGAGGTGCGGACTCAGGGGTCAAGGAGGGGGTTAGAGCTTATGATACAGATGGCCATGACATCAATACTGTAGGTGGGAGGGGCAGATATGGCGGGAGCAGGGGCCACATCATCTTGCGGGAGTGCGTCCTCGCTGGTTGCAAGCGGTGGCACGCTCCGGCCCCCAAAGCTCTTCTCGTTCCCCAGGTTGTACGGAACCTCGGGCCCCAGGCCTTCGGCTGATGCTGTGCAATGCCAGGTCCGTGGTAAATAAAGCCCCCCTCATTTGTGATCTTATTCAGGAGGCGGGTGCGGACCTGGTGGGTATTACGGAGACCTGGTTGGGCCAGGAGGGGGGAGCCCCCCTTGTTGATATGTGCCCACCCGGTTTCCGTGCATTCCATCAGCCAAGGTCACAGGGGAGGGGCGGAGAGGTGGCGGTTGTCATTAACGAGGATCTTGGACCGAGGGAGGCCACTGTTCCTCAGACGGCTGGATGTGAGTCCCTCCTTGTGAAGTGGGGTCATAGGGTGCAGTTCGGCTTGCTAGTCACGTACCTGGCTCCCTGCCACGTGGCAGCAGCCCTGCCCAAGCTGCTCGACGTTATAGCTGCGGTGGCGGTTGACACCCTCAGGCTTATGGTTATGGGGGATTTTAACCTGCCATCAATCGGCGAGATGTCTGAGATTGCTCAGGAGTTCATGGCTTCCATGATGGCTATGGACCTGACCCAGTTAATTTATGGCCCTACTCACATGGGGGGACACACACTGGACCTGGTTTTTGTCTCTGGACAGTGGTTGAGTGATCTGGAGATAGGGGATATAGTGATTGAACCCTTGTCATGGTCAGATCACTCCCTCCTTCGCCTGGACCTTCAAACTGCCACACCTTGCCGCAGGGAGGCGGAACCAACCAGGTGATTCCGCCCCAGGCGCCTGATGGATCCTGATAGGTTCCAGATGGAGCTTGGGCCACTTCCTGAGGTTCTGGCACACGACTCGGCTGAGGACTTAGTAGCCGCCTGGGATAGGGCGGCTGCTGGGGCTTTGGACCGAGTCGTGCCTTTGCGGCCTCTGACCCGGCGCCGGTCTCACCTGGCTCCTTGGTATACTGAGGAGCTGAGGGAGATGAAGCGCCGGAAAAGACGCCTAGAGAGCAGTTGGAGGGCTAGTCATTCTGAATCCGACCGGACACTGGTAAGATCTCATATTAAGAATTACCTTGTGGCGATAAAAGTAGAGAAGAGTAACTACTTTTCTGCTCTTATTGCATC